CTGGAGCAACTTACTTTCTTTTAATTTGCCAACTCAAACACATTTATTGTAGTAATTAGGTACAAGACTTTTGCATAAACATAAATAACGTGAAAATATAACTCACATCAACTTAAATGTGTTGCGTAATCAACCTAAATACCCCATTAAATAAGCTACAATTAGCAATACCTTCGATTGTAGGTAAAAAGGGAATTCCCTCAACTTTTTGTAGTTTGCTGGTTATAACATAATTTCACTAGGGGTTGTCATAACTCATAAAAGACAGATGGATTTATGTTTGTTGAGCCCAATTATAATTTTTTAGAGTGGAGAATGGCATTCACAAGTCAGTGATATATGCAATATATGATATAACATGATGACTTCTTTAGAATAATAAGCACTTAGTGACTTCCATCTACAGTCTACAAAATAAATCAAGGGACCACCACTTAATTAAATGTTTGGTTGCAAGATAAAATATTGAATTTATCAATGTGGATAAACCTTTTAGTTTGCAAACTTTATTTTGATGAGCTGTGTTGACATAATAACTTTGGTTATTGTGTCTGTGCATATTTAAGCTGAAGTGTTTGTGTTAATTGACTTAAAACCAAATTCAGGTTGTAGCAAATTAATTAAATTGCAGAGTTCAGGATTTCTAGCCCTTAAAAACTCATGTTTGTACCAGCAGTTGTTACATAATGGGTAATTTAAAATATCAGGTTAATGTGTTGGTTGAACACAATTTCAATTTCAAATAATTTTAAAGTTATCATAAATTAAAAAAGACTGATATAAACGGTTCATTTTGTTGGTTTTTGATTGCACTGCTTTCTATGTCGCCACCGTTTTCCACGCATAAATTAATTAAATTTTGACAGTATATAATATAACCTCAGCATTTCAGTTAGTCAGCTTATTGTGTTTAAAATAAATATAATATCACAAGTTCTTAATCCTTAAAATTTTATATTGGTCAGGTGCATTTTTCTTTATATTACATTTAATATATTATTGTAAGATTTTTACCTTTTTTTAAAAATTGAACAGTGTTCAATCTAAATTAGCGTCAATGTGATGTGTAATATTTCATTTTTAACTAATTTTTCAGGTGAAATATTCCATTAATTATTTCATTGCCATCTATGATATTGCTTATTGCCTCGGGATGATTGCCAGCATTACTTTTCACTGTTCTATTCTAGCCTTATTTTAGCTTACTTGTTTCATTTCAGATATATGTCGTACTCGTATCTTATTGCTTTCTACTTTTAGGCATTGCATTTCTTATGTTATCTCTGTTTTTTTTTCAGACACAATAATTTCCTTAGAAGTTAAGTAAGTTTTATCTTATCTTAACTTGTTGGGTAATTCATAATGCCAGTCCTTATTCTCCACCGTGAAGCACTTTGGCTCAAAGGCTTTTGTTCTAAGTGCGGCGTATAAATAACATTAACTCGACTTGACTTGACCTCGAACGACATGCGAGTCATCCTGAGCTGTTGCTGAGGAATTATCATGATTACTTCATGAAGACTTTACATTTTTAACTATAGCAATTTTCTATCTGCTTTACACACGGGGGGGGTGCACAAAAATAACAACTTCTGTACCCTACTGGTTAATTATTCAGCCCATTTAGTGTCTGATTTAGAATTCACGGGGAGCGATGTGTAGCTTGCTGGCATGTAGATTCACAGATGGAATTAGAAAATATGTGGAAGCTCTTGTAGCTGTTTAGTCAACATTATTTATACAGCACATTTAAAACCAAAACACCAAATGAAACAGAAAAAATATTCCTGTTAAGACTCTATAGTGTTATTTATGATGGGAATTTACAAGAGTTATATGCATAGTAATGATTTAAACCCCACAAAAATCATATAAAATATTACTTTAACCGACTATAATAATAAAAAAAAAAGGGTGAGATCCTACAGTGTTGAGGTGATGATGCTTAATTCCGCTCTTAAACTGATTTTATTACATGAATTTATCAGAAGAATATACATTGTAATACTATGTTAGTATTAAAACCATCAATTTTAGTGACTATAAAGCAAAATAAGGCTAAGAATTCTTTATACTGTGGTCTCTATTTAACCGATTCAGCTCTTAAACTGCTTTGTTGCGTACCTTTCCTTCAAGATGAGGCGCCAGAGTTTTCAGGAATTCATAGTGTTCCCTATGAACGCAGATGAATATCAGATTTGCAGATTGGGCCGCCTCTTGGTGGGTCATCACCTGAACAAAAACAACACTCATTCAGGGCATGAAGACACATGTTTGAGCTGCACAAACACACATGTACATTCTGACCGACTCCAGGGTCCGCCATGTGTTGTACCTGAGCTCCCTGAGGCAGCGGGCCACAGCTGTGAGGTCTGCGGCTGCCGTACACAACCCTGTAGCCAGACTGGAGCAGACGCTGGCCCAGAGATCGCCCCAAGTCGCCCGTCCCGAAGATGCACAGCAGCTCTGGCTCTGGATCAGCTGACGTGTCCAGAGAACCGTTTCGCTTCAACTCGACCCTTTCCAATGTCATGTTGGCCCTGCTGTGAGGTTGTGTCCCAGTGGAGTCTGACCCGGCTTTGATTTCAAACCTATTTGCTGCCTAATATAAGTGCGTTTGCGGAGGTGGTGCTTTTGTTTATTACACCTGTAATCAGCACCTGAAACCACGTGTGCTGGAGTGTATTCTTGTCAGTATGAGTCATCAACACACCCAACAAGTTTATTTTTTTTTTATCATTATTATTGCTGCTGCTTGTGCTTTCCAGTTATTGATTGATACGGCGAGACTTTGGACGGTAAATTAGCTGTTTCAGGCAACCATCAGCAGCTGTAACGCTAACCTCAGATTCACATTTTATCACTTCTTAGAAACACAGACTGCTTTATCTATCTAGTTCACCCAGAATTTGACTTTCACATTTGACAAGGGAGGGGAAAGAAGAAAAAAAAAAATCTTATACTGCTGCTTTCCAGGGCTGCCTTATTCTATTTCTTCTGTTTCCACACTAGACATGATGCCATGTGGGAGATCCTGGGCCCACAGATTCATTATCATTTCAAAACCCGCTGTTCCAACCAAACGACTGGGAAGAGAATTTGTGCAAATTTAGTGTTCATGTCCCCATGGCTAAAACATCTGCGAAGTTGTGACACGAACAGACTCAACAGAGCAGAAATGAAGCTTGGCACATATGTAAGTGTTTTGTGTGTGTGTGTGACTGCTTCGCTTTTGTACGAACGCGCGGCTTTTGCTCGCAAGCGTTTGAATGTGTGGCTCTGCGCCTGTGTGTGTGTTTGTGCACTGAAATGGGTCAGAGCTGAATAGAGTCTCAGCTGTGATCTGCAGCACCTGGGGAGCTGACTCTGTAGACAGGGTGACTACCTGGCAGTAGAAATGACACACTGCATCACATCAACTTTACTGACTGCTGCTCGCAAAAAAAAAAAAAAAAAAATACACTCCTCTCCATAAAAAAGCGGCCTCATTGAAATCACAATATACATATACATAGCCAGCAATATTTATGGCAGACAAGCAGCACGTTACCCCGGGAGCTTTTACAGTCAAGTCCATAACTAAAGCATTAATGTTTACCTGGGGGGATATCGCAGCATAATGAGAAATCATTTTATGCCTAACCTTTAAGGCATCCATTCAGTGCTAGCGCTGTTAGAATAGACCTGATAGCAGATCCACTCCGATGACTCATTTACTAGCTCTGCCTCCGGGACAACTTGCTTTTTCTCATCCTCTTCCTTCTCTCTGTCTCTCTCTCTCAGCGCCGTCACATCGACACCATCCTCGCTTCCTGTAGTGCTTCTTCCACCTCTTATCCAGTCGCTCCAAGTTAATAACTATTGAACCCAGTTGAGTAGATTCAGCTGAAGCCGGCTGTAATGATGTCGTCCAAGGTCGCGTCCTTTGTCTGCTTGTTAAACGCAGAACGTGAGGTCAACTGAGAGGATCGCCCTTTGGTCCTGAGGTTATCAATCCCCCCAGTTTCTCACACACACGGGGTTTAAGGATACTTAAGCGGTGCTTCTCTAGGGACTCCGACGGATTCTTGAGTTGTGGTTGACTTGGCTACTTGAGTTTTCCAGAATGATATGACATGAGTGAACCACAGGAAACTAAAAAAAGGTGTGTTCCAGGACCAAGAAACAGATTTACTACGTCTCAATACATAGTATGTCTGATGCAGCAGGGCGAAAATACAGTGCATGTCATGCTATATCTAGTTGGATTTTGCTGTATGCAAGCAAGCATGCATTTCTGGCTATTTGGACCCACAATTCTCTTGTCACAGCTGCTGCACTTCTGTATAAAACTTGACAGCAAGTTCCTGCATTGGTGTGGTGCCTTCGTCATCTCCTCCATCAACTGACTGGACCAGCGAGTTCTGTAAGTTACCTTGTTTTGAGAACTGAGACTAGTATTCAGATGTTTCTCACCAGGTGCATCGGCTTCCTCCCACAGTCCAAAGACATGCTGAGATTAATTGATGATTCTAAATTTGTCTGTAGGTGTAAATGTGAGTGTGTGAGGTCAGCTGGGCTCCAGTCCCCCTACAGAAGATACAGCAGTGTATAGATAACAGATGGACAGTTTTTAGGTTTGGCTTCATCTCGGGATGCTAAAATCTACTTGTGGTTGGTTGTTAAAGTGTTTGACACTAGACAGCGGTGCTACTCCCCGTGTATTTTTCTGGTCTGAATAGCATAAGCAGGTTAGTATTTGAAGCTTTTGTTCTGTTGACGCGAGGTAAGAAGGGGTGAGCAAACCTGACAAGAGACCATCACCTCAGGAACCACCACAATAAACCTGGTTAACTGCCCTGATTACACACAGGTCATACAATTTCATTAACTGACACAAGACAGATGTGATTCAAGAACGTTTATTGATTGATTGATGCTGGACGTCTGGAAATGCCTGCAGAAAGAGCAGCCTAAAAGAATAAAATACAAAATAAATCAAATTTACAACAAAGATTACAAATTTTTTATTGTGTTTAATACAATTTAAAAAAAATAAAAATAAAAAAAGAGACACTTCCAGCACAATAAAATCAGCGAAAGGAGGGGAAATGGATGGAAGCCAGCCGTAGGGAGGTAGATAATTACTTAACAGTGTTCCAGAAGTGCCATAAATTACCAACATGTGAGCTCACAGCAGTTTTCGCATTTGGCATTTTATTTGTACGGGGAAAACCACACTAGAGTGCCCAACCTCCACCACCAGCTGGCAACCAGCTCAACTCAAGGGGAAAATTAGTTATTGCTCCAACACAAATGTAAGAATAATTGCCAAAGGACCAGTTGGCTCAATGTAAAATACAAAATAACGGCTAACAATGCAGAGCTGAGGCAAAGCTAACTCTAAAGCTGCCAATAAAAACCTACAATAAAAAAAATAAATACATGTTTATAACAAAAGTTTGCCGCAACCACCATACCCTTCGTACTGCTGGGTCAAATAATCCTTGGCATAATGGTGTATTGGTTATGCAGACTTGAGGAATTGCAGCATCCACATTACAAAAAGGTAGAAAAACTTTTGCAAACCTCAGCTGAAGAGACACCAATATGATGCAGGCAAACAGGAAGCTGTAAAGCTAATGCACCTTTATCGTTACGTGTACGTGAAAGGACAAAATCTTTCAAACAGCCAACAACTAGTGATGGGTCGTACTGTGCCAAGGTGTCTGTGAAGATTCCCAGTCATCCAGGTCATGGTTATCCTGGTAGATTAATCGTAGCAGCTGGACTTACTTGAGTTCCTTGAAGACGTTTCATCCAAGAGGCTTCATCAGTTCTGACTGACTAGTTGGGTGTTCCAGATACTGATATCCTTAAGGAGCCATTAACACCTGAGTTTCGGTTTCAATTGGGGGTTTGTTACTCCTCCCCCTCGTTATGTGAGTCGTTAGTGCTCCCCCTGCCACAAAGGGGTTCGTTAGGGTCTTTTGTGGCTAGGTGTGGATGTGGGTTCATCTTCCTGGGGAGAGATCTTAGGACCGAAAACAGGTGAGAGGTGATGCCTCAGACCTCCACCTCTGCTGAGGGATGGTCTTTCCAGTTTGACATAGATGGATTCTTTCACTCCTGTCTCAAACCATCTGTCCTCCCTGGCCAAAATCTGTACATTGTGCTGTGCCAAGGCTTCGGAGCGTGTGTCAAGAAATCCACTTAGTCCTTTATGAAGCGCGTATCGAGGCTCGCTTCGTGGAGGCGAGTGACGTTACAGGAAGAGGTTCGAGTGTTGGCGAGATTTATGAACATATATAAGGCACAGTGAATCGTCGCAAAATTTCAGTGTTTATGTTGAAGTTTTGCTGATTTACCTGTGACATAGAGGAACTAGTTTTCATAGAGCCTAAAAGGAGAAGAGTGTCCCCTGTATGGCAACACTTTGAGGTGATCCCAATAAGGTTTTACACTTAATATACCTGTAAATAATGAAATGTGTTACTACTATAATATTAACATGTGAAAGGGTTTTCTCCAAAGCCGGAAAAGGTTGTTTACAGTTTTAACAGTATTTTACAGTTTTAACATAAACGTCTCATGTCCTATTGGATAAATTTAAAAACTGACTGAAATCATACTGGGAGGTTTTGTTCTTTTCTTTTTTTTTCTTTTTACTTTAACAGGCCTCTGTTACTCACACATTAATCAAAAATAGATTAAATGAATTAATGAACAACACAAATATCTAATTACTATTATTTTTATTTCTATTCTTGGCCATCACAAATAGTTATTTATTTATATACGCCATTTTTCTTTTTGCTGAAAACCGAGACTTCCTACTGTAACTCCATTGTGTGTATAGAAGCGTATGCATAATGACAATAAAAAGGATTCAGAGTCTGATAGTTGAATTGACAATACATTTTTTGATCAGCAGGGGGTTTGTGTGCCTCGAGAAATTAACCTTTTTTTTTTTTTTTTTAACCAATTGCACAGAAAGCTCCAAGGCTTCATGAGGCTTCATCTCACCATCACTGCAATCCAGACTACATCACCTACCTCAGGAGAGGAGTCGCAACCAGGAAGTAAAAGTCAGCCATGATGCAACAGGGGCTTTAAATGCTTTCAATCAGGGTCAGTGGGAGGAGCCGACCCAATTCTTTGGCAGTGTGTTCAAGAGCTATCAGGAAATGTAGTATTCTCCTGAGTACAAATGTTCCTACTACATTACTTCTCGTAGGAGTTCTCTTTTTAGTCTATTAATTTCATTTATTGGAGTAGCCACCTCCATCCTCAGTTCCTCCTTGTTTCTGTGATTTGTGTTAACTACCTGTTTTCAGTTTTAAAAAAACTGCTTTAACTTTGGCTAAATAGCGTCCATCATGCTGTTTTTTGTTACAGTTGGTTGGTAACACCTCTGCACAATGAAAGATTTGCCACAACCAATCAATCGCCCAACGTCATGATGTCTTGCTCAAGTAACAAGCTTGAGCCACCAACAAACAG